CCTGTGACCAGGTACGCCTGTGACCAGGTACGCCTGTGACCAGGTACACCTATGACCAGGTACACCTGTGACCAGGTACACCTGTGACCAGGTGCACAAGCCCAGCCGGAGCTGCAGGCACAGGTCCTTCAGGGAACCTGGGGCTCGTGACCAGGGCTGGGTGGCACCATGAGTCACCTGCGTGTCACGTGGCTCATGACATCCACCCTTGTTCTAACAGTCCTGTGGGTTTTCAGATTTGTAGGTTTGGTGATAAAATGCCTGTTTTTAAAATATCGGCCCTAATGCAGTGACCTTGTGAGATCTGGACTCCCAGCCAGCAGGCCTCCCCTCAGCTCCGCATACCGAGGCCTTCCCAGTGCTGGCTCTCACTCAAAGGGAAGCTTAGAAAGGTGCGGCGCTGTGAGCCAGCGGGCGGGCCAGCCGCACCCGTGGGAGCCCGCCCGGGGGTCCACGAAGACCCAGGCACAGCGTGGGAGGGCGCCGTGCGGCCCCCGGGCAGTGACGGCCAGCGGACCTCTTCCCCCTCTCCCTCCACCCCCTCCCCCCTGCCCTGTCCCCCCAGGCAGCAGTCACCAAAGGCGCAGGGGGAGCCAGGGGACTCCGGTCAGCCACCGGCGGCTCTGGTCAGCAGGACGAGCCCAGTCTAGGGGCCCACACTGAGCCCGCCCCGCGGTCCCCAGGGCCCTCACCTGCGCAGGCTGGGCAGCAACGACCAGTCCCCCCTCCTCCGCCTGTGCTGAAGAGAGGAGACTCAGCCCCACGGTCAGCAGGAGCCCCCACATGGACCCCGCCTGCCCAGCCCCGGTCTCCACAGCTTTGTCCGGGAGGCGGGAAGCAGCCTGCGGCTGAGTGCTGTGTCGCTCTGTCACTGTTGGAAGGGTGTGAATGGACCGCACTCATGTGTGTGATTAGCCTTCACGCTGCCATCCGGTTCATTCTAAGGAAGCCTTGTCCCAGGCTGGCACTTGGGGGCCCCCAGCAAGGGCTCCTGCACCCCCCCCAGGAGCGGCGGGACCTGCCCTGGGGACAGGTGCACACCCAGACCCCAGTTCCCTCCAGACAAAGGGCCAGGCCAGGCAGTGTCCAGCCCCTCCCCACAGGCCCCTCTGAAGGCCCCAGAGGCCTCAAAGCCCCAGCCCCTCCCGGAGAGCTGAGCTGCTGGCTTCCCTCCCCACCTTGGCTTCTTGGTCTGACGTTACCTGAGCCCTGCCCTGAGGACTCGCCGGCCTTGCTGGCCAGGCGCTCCTCTCAGTGCTGCAACCTGAGCCTGTGACCTGCACGCCAGGACCTGGAGTGTGCCCAGACCACCCCTCCTCCCTCCCTCCTTCCCTCCCTCCCTCCCTCCCTCCCTCCTCCTTCCCTTCTTCCTTCCTTCCTTCCTTCCCCCCTTCCCTCTTTCCCTCCCTCCAATCTCAGCTGACAGAACACTGAGTGAAGTCCTCCCTCACAGCTCCTGGTCCTCACCTCTCACTCATCCTGCAAGAAAGGGCAACCACACCCTCTGCTTCTGTGCACATGTGTTCACGTGTGCAGCGCACACAGTGTCATATGTACACGAGTGTCACATACGTGTACATGCACGCACATGTATGTCCTGTGTGCCCATGTGTGGTTGTGCATGGTGTGACTGTGTGTGATTCTGGGAATGCACATGTGTGCACATGTATGCACATGTATGCACATGTATGCACATGTATGTACATGTATGTATATTGTTGCCTGCATATGCGTCTATGTGTGTTCTTGGGTGTGTCTCTGTGTACACATACTGTCTTGTGAGCATGTGTGTTAGTGTGCGTGTGTGCACATCCGTACGTGCCTGTCTTTGTGTATGCATCTGTGTCTATGAGAATTTGTGTGAGAATACCTGTGTGTATGTGTATATTTGTGTGTGTGTGCATCTCCATGGGAAAGCTTCTAGAACATTCTCCTGACCGTGTGGTTTTCTCCAGATGGGGATCCACATTTACCACAGAGAAATCGAGCCTGTGGAGGGAGGAAGGTGCCACGGCTTCCGTGGCGGGGGAGAGTGTCCTGCACCCAGCACGGGCTCCCTTGGGAGGTCCGCGGGGCGGACACGGAGCAGGCTGGAGGGCTGGTGAGCGCAGGCGTGGCTACAGCAGCCTCTGACAGGCTGGAGGAGACGGGGACCCAGCGGGCAAGACGGCCGGGACCTCTGAAGGAAGGGAGGGCAAGGAGGCCGTGGACACACGGCCACCTGCTGTCCCGGGGAAGAGCAGGTCCCCTGCCTGGGGGCAGCCCGGGCCGCGGATCTCCCTGGCCCTGCCTCAGCCTGTGAGCGTGGGGCTCCTCAGGCTGAGCAGTCTCTCCGCACTTCCTCTGAGCAGGCACAATGGCGTTAAAGCACCTTGGCCGTTCTGTGTATCAGCCGCAGACGGCCAGTGGGATCACCTGCCTGCCTCTCTTGGAGTCACTCTGTGCCCCCGCCCCCTCCCGCCCCGAGCCTGGGCTTGTCTGGGGGGAGCCTCAGGGTCCACGCTGCTGCACCCCCTAGAGGCCCTTCCCTCAGAGTGACAGGTGCCAGCCCTCCCTGGAGGGAATCTCAGGTCCACACACAGCAGGCTGCCCGCGCAGTCTGTCTTTGCGAAAGGGAGCTGTAGCGCTTGCTTCGTCTGTGCATTTCCCATGTTGCCAGACGTAGGGTGTGAAGATATTTATAATATTTTAAGTAGAATTTGAATAGCTTCAATGCCGCGTCTCTCCTCTGTGATATTGGCGACTCTCATCAGCTCAATTTGATTTCATTGACTTTTCGCCGCTGCTTAGCCTGTTCTCTCCTATCAGCTTCTACTGCAGCCCTTGCGTCCATTACTCCGAGGTTCATTTTCCAGGTGTTTTCTAGCTCCTACCCATGGTCTGATGCGCGTGCGCAGTATCCTTGTTAATTTTAGCTTTATAGTAAAGGTGCATTACTTGTAATTAGCAACTGGTGTTAGTATAATCAATCCCTACCCTTGACCTGAATTATTTAGGCCATTTATATTGAGTGTGGTTATTGACTTGGTTAGATGACATATTGTCCTGCTATCTGTCTTATTTTCCTTTTTGCCTCCTACTCTGCCTTCTTTTTGTTTAATTGAATATTTTTGTGATTATTTCACATTTTTTCTCTCTGTTTTGCTTTCCAGCCTATTGTGGCTTTGTTTTGTTGCTATATTTGTTCTTTCAGTGTGCATCTGGTTCCTACAGTATTTGTCTTCAGCTTACCTTCAGTCAGTATTGTATCATTTAATGTAGAATAAAATCCATACACCAGTAAATTTCCATTCATCTCTACCCATTCTTCTTCCCGTTGGTGTCACTTCTACTATGATGTCAACCCCAGGCGAACTTGTCATATTTTAAAATTATCTATTATCATGCTTTACCATCACCACCACCTCCTCCTCCTCCTCTTTTCCTTCTTTGTCTTTCTTCTTCCTTCCCTCCTCCTCCTCTTCTCCCTCCTCCTCCTCCTCTCCTCCTCCTTCTCTCCTCTTCCTCCTCCTCTTCTTCTTCTTCTTCCTTCTTCTCCTTCTCCTCCCTTTCCTTCTTTTCATCTTCCTCTTTCCCCTTTTCCATCACCTTTGCAATGCTTAGGTTCAAACCCAGGACTCACAGATGCTGGGCCAGTGCTCCCCCACCAAGCGTCAAATCGGTTTGCACTATTATGAATCATGCTGCAGATGGTACTTTGTTATAGCAGCCTGAAAAGGCTAAGACAGCCTACTGAAAAATAGCACTAAAACAGACCCTCCTTTCCCCAGCTCAAGGTAGACAGAGCTGATAGCAGTAACAGAAACAGGACATTTTGGCACAATATCAGAGAACACAAAATGTGCAGCCTGCTATTCCTCCAGTGTCATCAAAGTCCTCAGCCTGGAAGTGTGAGGCTGAGGGATGGAGGCAGATGCTTTCGAGGTCTTTGAGCCCGATCTGCCCCCAGCGCTCAGGAGACGGCCCACATACGAGGAGAATGCCTCTTGGCTTGACTATGCCCAAACCTTGTGGGAAAATCCTTCTCTATACCCTGATCTCGGTCAGGACCAGCAAGCAGCTGCCTGCCAGCCGGACGACCCACCATGGGGGCTGCTGACCTGTGAGGAGGCGGCGGCTGCCCCACTGAAGAAAGCAGGATGCAATGGCTCTGCACTGACGTCACCCAGAACAGAACACAGTTCTCTGGGAGGGGCTGACCGCTCAGTCAGCATGACTGCTTGTTAAGGGAGAGCTGCGGGTGCTGGCAGCCTGTCTCAGGGCTCAGCATCTCACCCCCTCCCAGTGCCTCTGGACCCTGCAGGCTGTGCTGTGGGCCTGAGTTCCTGAAGCTGGAAAGAAGAGATGCCAGAGCTGTGCTGGGCAGAGCGCTGGGAGGAAGAGATGCCAGAGCTGTG